GGCCTAGATCTCCCTACCTTCCTTCACTGCCTGCGCCTGCGTAACAGGGCTAGCCTAGTTTAGATCCCCGCCACGACCGGCCTTCTCGCTAAGCGAGTTGCTCGAACTGCGAGGCGAGAAGAGAAATTGGTCACGAGACGAGAAGCATTTCTTGAGACACGAGACGAGAAGCATTTCTCGAGACAAGAGACGGGAGCATTTCTCGGTACTGGTTTCGGCGAGAAGTAGGTCAGCTTCTCGGTCTTCTTGCTCGGGAAGGGAAAAACGCTTCCCGCCCGTCTCTAATGTGTATGGTAACTGGACATGTGTACGGTAACCGGGCACCTAGTCTCTCCTAGTCCTAGACTCAGTATCTACGTACACAGTAACCGGGCACCTAGTCTCAGTATCTACGTACACGGTAACCGCAATGAAAATAAATCAATATATTTGTCCTGTGCTGTCTCTTCCTGAAAAAAAAAGAAAGTCCTACAAGCGTCTTGTCAGGCTCGCCGTCGTGACCAGTCAGTAAACCTTCGCGTGTGCATCCTACGTGCATCAGGCTTTCCCGCGCGGTGAAAATTTGGTCCACGTTTGCGGGTGATTTAGCGGACCCGGCCGAAGCGTAGGTGACTAACTTTGTCAACCTCGGTCTGTTCTATTTCCGAACCAATCCGAATGAAACTCGGCAACCAATCAGAAAATAGGGCAGACTAATGATATATGTGGACGTTGAAGTTCGTACACATAAATTAACCAATACTTTTGGTGTCGGGAACACTTTCGTATCGGGTACACCGAAAACTATAAGGAGTTTGAATTTCAACGCCGTGATGGTAATAGATCTATCTATCCTCTATTGTGTGCTCAAATTTGAACGTTCTGTGTCAAGTAGTTGTTTAGACCCGATCGTAAATCTACGGCTACCCCTCTATTCAAAGTGGCTTCCCATGGAGACCGGCCATTTTCCCCTCACTCTCGCGGCAAATGTATGTGACCTACAAATCCCCGCATGACTATTCCGGGCCCGTTCATTGGTCACTTGAAATAGGGGCTATGGCGGGCGCACGCATCCGGTTGTTTTTTTATCTCTTCCCTTATAACATCGGAATGGGGCTATTCCGAGGCGAGGTTATCTCGACTCGGGGTGTTCGCGTCTCAACGGGGAAAAATTATTTTAATTGTACGGCATGCTAGATTGAATTAACTTATCTTTTACGGTTGGCATGGTCTAAAGTCATCATAAAACGCCCCTTTTTTCGCAAAATCGTAGTATGTACATCAAAATTTTAATTATAACAAAATAACTACGTAATGGGTAGTGAATCTGACTGCAGAAATGATTTCTACACCCAAAAACACATCGGGTAGCCAAGTTTCTCTCTAACACTCCAATTAGTTACCGAGATATCATCGATTTTCTTACAGAATCTGCTACTGCGTGGTCCACATTTTAAGAGTATTCCTATGTGGGTCATCCATATTTTTCCGACCTTTACAACCCCATAACTTGTTTATTTATGAACCGATTCTTAAAATTCAAGAAGCATTTCTTAGAATTGAAAATTCTTTCTTAGGTACCAAATAAAAAAGGGCTATTTAAGTGAAAAATTAAATTTTCATTGGCATTGCTACATTGTGAGTACTGGTTGGGGTCACCAAAGTTCATTCAAAGTCTTTAGGCTGCGAAGTATAGGGCTCAGGGCTCCGGAATGAGGGGATTATTGATTTTTTTAAATGTACAGTCGGGGGAGGGGTGGGCATGAAGACAACACCAGATGACAAAAACTGAACTTGGAGTTCTGAACTGCCCGGTTACCCTCCTATGTGACACTGAGACTACATGCCTGGTTGCCGGTTACCGTGTACGTAGATGAGGCTACATCCCCGGTTACCGTGTACATGACGCTGAGACTACGTGCCGGGTTGCCGGTTACCGTGTCGTGTTGGTAGACACTGAGGCTAGGTGCCCAGTTACCGTGAACGTAGGCACTCCGAAAACGGAAATCTGTCTGTCCAACGCAGAAACGGAAAGAAAATCCGGTCCCTTCCGAGGGTTTCACCTGACTCACCTGTCTCTAAGACGGAAAATGCTTTACCCGCTCAGCCCTGATTTGAAACAAAACTGGCAAGATTGGTTCCGCCGGCTCTAGATCTAAACTTAACGCAATGGCCCTGCCGCTAGTCGAGGAGGGGGAGTTTAGTAAGGGGTGCAATTTATTTTGGGGTAGGTGTTACCTCATCATGTGAGCCCTGGGGGATGTAGATGGTCAGGATAGTGTGGGTGTGAAATCTCACGACTGCCCGTGAGAGTGCTCAAGTAGCGAGCCACTAAGGAAACTTTCCTGGACAGCCAGAAGCCAGTGGTGTGAAATTAGTTTGACCAATGCCTGCCACCCTGATCGTACGCCTGCCGAGTAAAGAGTTCCTCAAATCGTTGTGTTACATGATGGCAGTGAGGATGGCATTGGTTGACTGTACTTGTTACACCGGTGGGTGGGGCTAAGGGTGGAAGCAAAGGTGATGTTCAAACGTTTCTGTTTTTAATAGGTCAAACAGTGGTCCTATGAAAGGCAAGCACTGGTGGTAATTGGATGTAAGAGTGACGCAATTCATTACCAGACAGGATAGCAGTTGAGAGGTCTGAAGCTTTGACCACTGCTAGCAGATCGGACAAGTGATCTTTCATCCCACCGGCTAGGCCTTTGAACCCCCCCCCCCCCCCCCTCTCTTTCGATTGCCCCCTAAATTTCCCCTAAGACAAAAAATGTCAAAGGCGGAATTTTTTTCTGGCTCCCTTGCGATTCCGTCTTACACAGGTTCGATTGTACTCATACACAGACTTACTATTTACTTTAGCATGAGTAAGCCTACTTTACTGCCATGCATGTGCAGTGTTCCCTCCTAGTGCCTAGATCAGTCTAGATAGTCACTGGCAGGGCATCCATTTGAATGAACTCACAAAAATAAGCGAGTTTGGGGTGAGGTATTTCCTTGTGTTGTCCATTTGTGAAGATGGAATTGGATCTGTTGCCGACTCAACTCGCGTCACACAACTGTCCCCTCACACATTTGCAGAGATAATATAACAACCTTTTAGGAAGGGCTTTCGTAACGAGCGACCACTGTATTTTTTACTTTCCGTCCCATCTCAACTTAGCTACCAGTAGTCCATTTTCTAAGTCTTACTTATAGAAATATTGCATGCGCTGAACATGAATATCAACTTCATTTCCGTCGCAAATTAATAGTTTTTGAAATATCTCATTATTCTGAATGAACCAATCTGCCCCCCTGGGTAAAAGAAAATCGGGGTGGGGGGGGGGGGGGGGGGTTACAGGGAGGCTGGCTGCTCCCCTTGGGTAAAAGAAAATCTGGGGGGTTACAGGGAGGCATGCCCCACTGTTTTAACCCACAATTTGATATTTTACAGTTAGACTAGACATTTTTTTGAAAATAATTGATTTGCGACAGTTTCAGTGGCTTTATCTGTGATCTGCAGCGAACGGTGCTGCAGTTTCACCCCCGAAGCAGTGCATCAGTGTGCGGGAGAGTGAAAGGAAAAATTTACAGAATCCCCAGATTGGGCACTTTTCGGTAGTTCCCACCCTTCTTTTGGCCTAGATCTAGATCTATTATAGACTCTGATGTGCGGTGAGCGAGAGAACATCAAATTAAATTGAACCTAAAGTAACTGTAAAAGCCAGCTCTATTCGGACTCGAGTCCAGTTAGATTCTTTTCTATTTGGACTCGAGTCGCAAATAAATGTTTTATTTATTGGAACTCAGCTTCTAAGTGAGTTATGTGAGTGTAAGGAGTAAAGAGGTTACATAATATAACTGTCGTCGGGGGATTTTACGAAAAACCAGAATTAGAACTAGAATTACTTTACCCACAAGGACTGTGTAATTGTGTCAAAAGTCAAAAGACTGCACTGTCATTGCCCAATGGCAGTGTCTAAGTACACAGTAACCAACAACTTTGGGTCTTTCCACTGCTGTTACAGCATCATCATTACTACTACCTCCTCCATTCGTCTTTCCACATGTTTAATTTCATCTTGTTGTGTATTATAGTTTTTCTGTAAATGATAAAAAAAAAAATCACATTGCACAAAACTGACAGCCGGTGGCCTCTTCCCAACACCTCTTCCCCCAGCAGGCCGAGAGTGTGTGATTTTTATTAGGTTAGGGGGGCAAACCCCCCTACTCTTGGGGCCAATAATTGGGTGGCGGGATCTACTGAAAAAGCGCCCAATCTGGGGATTCCCAAATTGACTATGCCAAAATGGCCGTCATCTGAGGTGGGACATCACATCTTCGTCTAGTCCTGATAGAGCTAGGATTTGGGGTAGAGTTAGGGTCAGGCCAGTCAGGCCTAGTTCTCTTCTGTACTGTAGTGTTTGTTGGGGTGGTTGCTCTTTACGGAAGTCTTTCCACTTTTTATAGTCTTTTAGTAGGCTGAGTCTGACCTCGGAGCTCAACATCAATTGTGAAGCCAAAATACTGACAAGAGTAAAGACTCCCTGGGGTGTGTTGAAGTTGAGTTAGTCTAACGGTTCATTCCACAGAGTTCACTTTACTTATTTGTACAACGGCAACCGACCACGGGCCACAGTTAGAATAGTTAAATGGGAAAACCTTGCAGTTTTCCTGCCAAATTCACTTTTTTTTGGTGACAAATTGGCCTCAGCTAATAATGGTCATTCATTTGTTACAAATAGACCTACAAATGTTTTCCACCCACTTGTCTTCTGATCGAGTGTGTATTTTTAATCAATCGATGCAAAGAAACCAATTTTGTTGAAAATTAAATGAGATTTCAGATTTAAAACCATTTGTTGACGTTTTCAAATCGAGTAAGTAACTTAAGTCTGTAACAACAGTCTTGTCTTGCAATTTCTTTCCTCTGTGATCTTGATAACTGTTATTATGGTCTAGTTTGACTGTACTATGTGTGTATCAAAGTAAAGCTACCTCCGTGTCGTTTTGATGATGGTGTGCTTTTTATTTATATCTAGATGGAGATGATGTCACAGTGCCAATTGGAGTGAATGAATCGCCTCCCCCCTACACCCCTATAGCACAGGGTGGCATTCCTATGATCAACTGCAGGGTGTGCGAGGCGACCATTAACTTGGAAGGAAGACAGCATCTGCATGTCGTCCGCTGCACCGTGTGCACAGAAGCTACGGTAAGTTTGTTACCTAGTGGTTAAGCTCTTGGATTCCAAACACAGGGTCGTGGATTTGAATTTGAATCTTGTCAGGGGCCAGACGTTGTGTCCTTGGGAAAGGCACTTTACACATGTTTTCCTAGCTTCACCCAGGTGGGAATGGGTACCCAGCTATAGATAGAATTATCTTTTATCTATTTTGTTAATGTTTAAGCACTTAATAAAATCAGCTGTTTACACTGTTATAAAATGCTTCAGGTCCAGGGATGCTGAGAATGTTTCTGAGTGTTTTAGGGTCTGCCGAGGTAATGATAGGAGGCCGTGTTGTGAAATCAGGCGCTCGTCAAAATAATGAAATTGAAGAAACTGGCATTTTTCCTTCAGTCTGGCAATTTCTTTTATTATGTCTTTTTTTAAAATTCAACACCTTTTATGTCTATTTAAAAACGTTTTGCTGAGTGGCTTTTACGGAAAAGCGTTGATTGAAGGCACAAAAAGTGTAAATTTACAGTTTCTACGAACTCTCAAGCTTTGGAAGTCATCAAACTTTGGCTGGTGGCTCTCGTGGCCTAGAGGTGTTAGCCTCTCATTCAAAGGTCCTAGGTTTGAATATGGGTAGCGACCGAAAAATGTTCTTCTCGTTCTCTAAAATTGTCTCCTTTCACCTCCTTTCCTGCTCTCTAGCAATGTTTTGTCGTCTGCTTTTGTTTCCACTTTTTGCCCCTCACCCCTTTTGCCCCCTCCTCTGGGCTCCTGACTCTTTCTGCAGCCTTTCTACTGCTACTTCTTGGCTCCTTCTTACTTCTGTCTTTCAGCCACACCCCTGATCTTCTAGTAGGAAAACTCTACACTTGGGCAAGGATGAAAAATCTCGGAGGGCCCATGTGCAAGTTGCGCATGTTAAAGAACCCTAGGTGGTCTAAAATCGATAAGAGTAGGTTTCGGCCTCTACCCGGGAAAATTCAAAATTTCCTACCAACCAAAAAAGTTTAATGAGTCCCGCGCGCAAAAGTGAAACTGTAAGAAATATTGATTAAAATCACTTGTGGCCATTGAGACCAATTCTGGTGGACAAGAGCTGTTCTCATCACCTGTCCTTTTCTTTTTCTTGCTAGATCACCTTTAACTTATTATTTTTCCGTAGATATTTCAACAGTAGAGTCCAGGTTATTGTCACTCTTTTTTTTTTCATATTAAAATTTTCTAATAGTGGAACCTGATCTAATGATTAGTCTAATGGTCACCTGTTCGTACCACCACTTCCTACTTCCTCCCTTGCTCTTTTCTTTATTATAATTACACTGTCCAAGACCTCCACCTCTCTGAGATAGCCACTGTTCTCCTCGACAATAGCTGGTGTCTAGGACAATTTAGACGAGTGTATGTCTGCTCGACCTTTGAGTTTGGCTCAAGGGCATTTTAAATTATTTTTTTGTGAGCCCTCCTGTACGTTCGGTCAGATTTTTCTTTGGTTTCGGGGGTATTCTCTTGTTGGCTATAACGACCGTCATTACAGAATAATAAAACAGTTGTTTTGTACCCATTTGGTTTGTGGCGGGTGCCCGGATGAAACACGCGTTCTTTTCTTCTTTCAGTGGTGATATTATTATTATCCTTGTTTGTTTATACTGGTAATTACTGGTGAAATTTGGTTGTATACTGAGGTCTGTGGTATAGCAGTTAGGGTTTTTTTAGTCACTGAGATCGATTCCCAGGTCGGAAGATACTTTTATCGAGTACAGTGTCTGATCTTAGTTTTTCTACTTGGACATTGCGTCCCTCTCAGCCTGCCAATGTTTGCTCTGACAGGAGGTGGGGTCAAAGTTTGCCTCCTAAATGATCTAAATTGTGTTGATGGGGGTGTAAATACCTGTGCATAACAATTTTTTAAATTGTAAGTTTGGCCGCCATTTTGCTGATTTGCATTAAATTTAATCCCAATGCAGAATGAACCTCTGTGATTACAGCGGGTGGTTAGAGTTGAAAGGCACCTTTGGTAGATCCTACTTCTTTTCTTTCCCTTGGTTGTTCTCGCCTGTTTTGTCTAACTTTTCCCTTGCGCTAAATCACCATTAAAATGCTGATGTGCCTCTCTTAACTTAATTCAGACGAATGAACAAGCAAACAAAAAGTGTGTTCAATGACCTTCTGCAGTTGTGAGCGCTGTGTAAGATACTTACAAAAATAAACTTTCCCCAAAAAACCCCCAAAATCCAAAAAGTGATTACAGACTATCTCTTACCGTTCCTGTTTGAAACTTTCTTTCCTCCAGCCGATCCGGCAAGCCCCTGCAGGCAGGAGGTATGTCAGGTGTCCGTGTAATCTGCTGTTGGTCTGCCGTGCTGGAGCGCCCCGCATTCTCTGCCCGCGAGAAACCTGGTGAGTGGAGTGTCCTGATCTGTTCTCCGTTATGTGTGCTGTGGTGTACAGGGGGTGTTCTTTTAATTTTAGTGAGAGTTTTACGGGACTTCCAACACAGTTCATATAATAAGTGCTGAATATTAGAAATGTTTCTAAAAGAGGGAGGGGAGATAAGGACGATAGATCTTTAATGGAGAGGATTCTTGAGAGCTTGTTTTAAATCATTTACTTAGGGCTAGTCCTGAAAATAATGATTTTATTAATAATAAAAACTCTGTATGCCCCAAAATTGATGAGAGCCTGGTTTCTCAGCGTCATGAGATATTTTCAAGCTGAGATATACGTTCGTTCAGGTACGTTTGTTCAGTGTGCAGAAGGGAAAAAGTTTTACATGTTACGGAGTGGTGTGCTTTTAGGTCCATAAATTGACTTAACGGTCCAAATCAAGAAACCCGCATACAAATTTTGCTAAAATCTATTGTTTTTTCTTTTCTTTTTACTGTGGCGGCAGATCTTTCTCCGCTATGGGAAATAAAAAACAAATTGATTTAAGAAAAATGTGGCCTGCGGATTTCTTGTACTGAACAGTTACTTTGTTTGTTCCTTCAGTAAGTTGTTGTTGTTGTTGTTATAGATCCAGCAACAGCTGGGCTCTCGCCCTTCTGTCCAATGCCATGTAGTCATGTAGTGATAAGTGCAGGTTTGCTGCAGTTGCTGTAATGTTCCATAGAGTGTGTTGTCAATGTTAGGGCTCGGAGGGAGAAGGGTAGCTCTGATGTCATTTAGGGCTGTGCAGTGGAACAGGTGATGCTCCACAGTCTCATATGCATAGTCACACAAGGGACACATTGGGGGAAGTTCCGGGTTTATTCTGTTCAGGTGGAAGTTGAGCTGTATATGTTCTGTTCGTAGGCGGAAGATCATGGTCTGTTTCTTTCTCTGAAGGCGGTTGATATTGTCATTCGTTTTTGTTGTGGTCATATGTTTGAAAACTGCTCTGCCTGTCTTTCCCAGGGCCCATCTGTTCATCCAATCTTGTTTGTTGTTGCTTTTGATGATTTGTTATGCAGTGTTGTATGAAGTTGGAGTGTTGGGTTGTTCCTGTCTAGATCCCCGTTTGGCAAGTGTGTCTGCTCTGTCATTTCCAGGTATGTCTGAGTGTCCAGGGACCCACTGCATTACTAGGTTGATGCCACAGGATGTTATCAGATGATGGGATCCAAACAGTATATGGGTCAAATCTTGGTTTAGATGATGGTCATTTTCTATGGCTTGTAATACTGATAGTGAGTCAGTGAAAATCACAATACTCTGTGCTTTTCCAGGATGAGTGTCAAAAACTGTGCGGAGATGGTACAGTGCTGTTTCAATTGCCATCATTTTTGCATCGTAGTTGCTGCATTTCTCTCCACAGGCTGCAGAGATCTCATTGGAACTTCCATCTGGGTACTGTATTAGTATTCCATATCCGGCTTTGGTTGTGCCTTTGAATGCTGAGCCGTCCGTATAGACGTGTATCCAGTCATCTGAATAGCTGTCGATTGTTTGATGTGATGCAAGCATCAGCATCACTGGGTTTGAAGATTTTGTGCTCTTGTCTTTGAGAGATGTTGTAATGATTGGCTTTTTTAAAGAAAGGTGGGGAGGGATGTTTTGGTTGACTCTTTTGTTTTTTTTTCTGTTTTGTGGTAGTTGGTGGCTCTCCATTAGTTCTGTGATGTGATGCATGATTGACTTTTGTTGAATTCGTTTCTTTGGTTTCCATGTTTCTGCTAATTTCCTGTTTGGGTGGTTAGGGCACATTCTTTTAGTTCTTTCATGTAGCTCCAAAACTGCTTTATCTCTGCGGATTCCCAGGGGTTCAATATTTGCAAGGATTTCGCACGTGGTGGTAGATGTGGATCTCATGCCACCATTTATAAAACGAAGGGCATTGTTTTGGACCTTGTCAAGGGTGTTGCAAGTAGTTGTACTGCACATAGTGAGTAGGCTATTGCTGTATTCCAGGGAAAATCGGACATAACCCAGGTATGGAGCTCTCAGAGTTTGTTTGTCTGATCCCCATGAACTGCTTGCGAGTTTCTTTAAAAGTTGGAGTCTTTTTTTT